ACACTTGACCCTGACCTGAAGGCCAGAGTTAGAATGACCTGAGATCAGACCAACGTCACTTTACGGTCTTGTCTCACTTTTCATCTGAGAAGGAGAACTTGTGTGCTCTTGTGTGTTGTGTTGTGTTAGTATAGTGTATGTGTATGTGTGGAATGAATGTATGTTTGTATATTTGTATGTATGCATTGTGAATGAAGTATGTTTGTATATTTGTGTGTATGTATTTGTAGTATGTATGTAATATGTGTATGTATGTATGTGTGTTTGTATGTGTGCATGTAAGAATGTATGTTTGTGTGTACGTATGCTTTGTATTATTTATGTTTATGTATTATGTTAAGTGTGTATGTGATGTATGTATGTTTTGTATTGTGTATTGTCACATGTAATGTAATGTAATGTATTGTGTGTAACGTAATGTTTGGTAAATATTATGTATAGTATAATGTATGTATAATATTTGCACATGCATGTGTTGTGGGTGTGTGGTGGGTTATGTGTATGATTGTAAATATGTGTTGATGGGTGTACATATGTATTTTTGAGTGTACGTGAGGGTTGGTGTTTATAAGTACAAATGATTTGGGCCTGTGCGCGCGGGTGCATAGAGGCGCCCCTAAGACGCACAGACAATCCTTCTCGCGCCGGTGAGGCCTTACAGCTAGGAACACGAGGCAGCCACTCACCCCCTGCTTCATGGCGTCGTTGGCGTGGGCGGCGACGTTGGCCCGACGGCGGAGGGCGGTCTGCGTGTCACAATAGTCCTCGCCGTCCTCGGGGAGCTTCTTGAGGTAGTCCTCGAGAAGGAGTCGGTACTGGGGGATCCCTGCACGGGCTTCAACATGTGTGCTTGTGAGGCTGAGCTGGCGCTGGTAGCGCTCGGACGCCTCGAAGTCCTTGAGGGCGCGGCCGAAGAGTGGGTACTTGGCGCAGCACTCGTCCAGGTAGTCGCACTGGCTGCTAGGAACTTTCTTTGAATGTAGGCCGAGTAGAGCTTGAGGAAGGGCCCTCCTCACCAGGGCATAACAGTCACTGGAAGATACTTTAGCGATATGTCATTTACCACTGAGCCTAGTATGATGGCGAGGTCACTACTCATTACAGTGATGCTCAGGATCTCCTCACTATCAGAATATTCTTATATTAATGTTAGCGAGCAGGTAGTGAGGTATTCTTAATTGAGTTTCGTGATTCCTTTGAATGCAGGTCTCAACGTCGGGGGCCCTTGCCGTTTGTGTCTGGCTCCCTACTGCATGCTCTGCCTCATCATTTCCTGTCAGGCCTTCCTCTGTGGCTACCGTCAGACATGAGGTGCCGGGAGTAGTCAGGGATCTTCGGCGTCTTTTGCGGCCTCCTACTTCTCATACCTTTTTTTCTCTTAGTCCTTTTGTACTTTAACACTCTAGTAGACATGGAGTTAATTCTACGGAAATTGTACGTTAAGAGCGAGCTTCCTGAGGAGGTCCACTTAGAACACCCGTCTCGAAATTATCTAATACTCGTATCCACAGTCCTGGGCGATAAGGAAGGACCCCTTCCTGTTCTCGAGTCTACTCCGCGGTGGAGTGAGGCGTTCTTGTTATAGTTGCAGGAAGCCGGAAGTAGGGCCCGGGTCAGCTCCTGGGCTCGACGCGTGTGGTCTGAGTGCCTCTGGGATTAGTTATAGCGGTCGCAGAAGCTCGGAAGGGGGGGACCACACGGTGGGGGGAGCGCTTGGGTTCATTAAGTCAAGAGATAATTACTATGTTTAAGAACGCCATGTACATGAGGGGATGAGAGTCGGGGAGCGGGTCGCAGGGGGTTGGATAGTGGGGTGGGGGAGAATCGGGGTTGGTGGGTCGTCATGGGGCTGGGCCGGGGTATGAGGGTAGGGGGTGCGTCGGAACGTAGCATTTGAGACACTTAAACGACGAGCGGGCGGGAGGGGGGAGGGCGGGTTGGGGGGGGGTTGCGCGGGGTGGGGTCGCGGCAGCCCAGAGGCGGGGGCGGCGGAGTGTGCAGGGGGGGGGGGTGGGGGTGTGTCGTTTGGCGGGCCAGTAGCCCTTTCAATACGCTTCCCCACGCGGGCAGCCTCATGCGGGCCGGGGGGGGTCGCCTCAGGCGCACCCCCGGCTCTAGTCTTTGGGTGAGGGATGGTGGCGGGGGGCACGAGTAGGGGGGGGGCGTGGGGGGGGGGGGGGTCTTCGAGGGGTTGTATATGGTATGAGGGGGACTTGGGGGGGGGTGAGGGGGTGTAGGGGGCGCGGGTGGGGGAGGAGTGCTCTTCAGCATACCCACTAGTAGGGGGGGTAAGGGGGGGGGGTAGGCTTGCTTATTATCTCGCTATTATGATATAACACCAGCTATATAGATATTTCTATTATCATATATATATTATTACGCACTAGTATTGTGTGTGTATTTTCTTATAATAGTAACGTGTTATCGCTATCCAGGGTATAATACGTAATAATTCATATGACATATATATATCTACTATTGATATAACATATAATTCATAATAATTAGTCATATTACGGTAGATCGTATGTGATTACTCATATATAAAACGGTGGTATGATATAACTTCTATATTGATGTGTACAGATCTAGTATATATATAATATATATATTATACATATTATACATATTATATATATGTGACTGTACACTACTCACTCCCTACTATATATAGGTAATATCGAGTGAGGTTGTCGGCTAGATAAGTTGATAAATAACCCAATATTAGATTTATCATCCTATTTAAAATGTATCCATGCCACGACATAATATATACAGTTTACTAATTCATAGTTGACTATTATTTATAATAATTCGTTTTAATCAGGTACATAAGTATTGTAGACCATCCCTTTACGTGTGTCTCTCTCTTTCTCGCGTCGACTTATCAATGTATGTGTTACCATATAACACTATCTTTTCCAAACATATACACTGAAGGCAGTTCACTTTATCTAATTGATTCCGCTATTCTTTCAGCTGTCACATATCCGACACCTTCATAGTGATCACTATCTCAAGTATAAATTTATCACTATCACTATCACTGTCACAAACACTCGCTCTGAATAAGCGCTCTTCATCTCCTCCTCCTTGCGATCTCCGTAAACTGAGCGATTTTAGCACAACCTGATTTAGTTCCGACACCACGTTCATATATCTGTGGTGAACAGGGGCGGTCACAGTGTGTTCAACTTATTTTCCTCTTCCTCCTCCTCCTCTTCTTGGACAGGTCGCCTCTCCCATGGCGGAATCGCTGGAGCTTCTCGGAAAGAGGAAAGTCTTCGTCGGCGAGTAACGAGCCTCCGCCTGTAGGCCGGCGTCCTCCGTGTAGTGACTCAGGTATGACTAACACGCCCAGCTGCCTGAGCGGCCTTCTGCCGCGCCTCTCATGACCTTGCGTGAGGTCCTGACCTGGTGCGCATGTGCGGCCTTCACCTCCTGCTTCCCTGTTACCCAGTCTGGCGTGTGGCGAGGGAGCGGAGTGTGAAGCGGTTAGCGGGGGACCCCACGGACGGCAGGGGCGGCGGGCGCGTGGCCACGGGCGGCAGGCACAGCATGGACGAAGGCGAGAGGCCGGCGGGGAGAGTCTGGGCGCGCGCGGGCGTGACGACGATGACAGGCTGCGGGTTCGGAGCGGACGAGTCGCAGGTCGTGTCGCTGGGAAGCTCGACGTAGAACTGACTCCGCGGTCTCTCGCTCGGCTTCGGCTTCCGCCCGTCCCGCGGAGCTCCGGCCCATCGCGTCTCTGGCGCCGACTTCCGCTCTCGCCCCTTGCCCTTTCCGAGGGAGCCGAAGAGCGCCCTTAGCGACCTCCGGACGCCGAAGGAAAGGGACGGGGACGGCTCACCTTCGCCGTCGCTCTCGTCCTCCTGCCTGGGCCCGGAGGTCATCCCAGCCTCGCCACCCGACCAGGAGCGGGGCCGCAACGCCGCCACGCTCAGCCTCGGGTCGTCCAGAGGGTCGTCCTCGAGGCCGAGGTGGTGGTGGGTCGCGGGCGAGTCACGTGACCTCTCCAGGGTGCCCTTACTCGACCCTATCGCGCGAGAGATATTTTGCCGTCTCAACTACTCAAATCAAAAATATGTTTCACTATCAATCTTTTGTCTTTCTTCAGCCTTTATCTCTGTACACACTTTTTCTTCCCGTTCTGGCTCTGTCTTCCTCCCCCGTCCTACCAAGGCACCGACTGTCCCTCTGGCAGGTGGCCCAGGTGGCTCCCGTCAACACCCTAGAGCCGCTTCTGGGCCGGGTCGTGCTCAGATTAATGCTGCCTAAGGAAACCACACACCGACACGCGTCTACACTACAGGTTAAGGGCTCGTTGAACAACACCTCTACGCTACTACAGGCAGATAAGAGCACTCTCTGTGCACCTAATCCGCCAGCTACGTCACTACGAAAAGAGCACAACTCAAGTCGAGTCGAGCCAGTCTACTTTACAGTCTATGGACACAAGCACCTCTACGACACAGGCTACCAGAGAACACCCAGTCAACGCACCACTTCCGTTGAAGAGGTTCCAGTTCGCGATCAGAGGTCTGCGACGCTGGGCGAGGAGGAGGTCGTTGCGCATTGGTCGTTACCCGAAGTAGTGGTGGAAGTGGTGGTGGTGAGAGTGTGGTCGTCGACAAAGGGTTCCGGGGAAGCGGGAGGGGTTTCGGAAGCACTGGCGAGGTTTTTTTCCGAGGTAGGGAGGTTGGGAGATTCTGTGGGTTGGTTACACTTTGGCTGTCTACAGAAGCAGCTGTCAAAGCCTCACTCAAGGTATGTGAGGCTTCACTAACAGTATGTGAGGCTTCGCTAACGGTATCTGGGTCTTCACGTAATTAGCATATGGGTGGATAACTCTAACAGTGTCAGAGTGTTTCATCTAAGCGCAAAGGTCTTTTGAACAGAGTCCAGGGCGTTTTAATACTGAGTTTAAGTTTTCTCTGGACGTGTAAGGGGTTATTCCTTAAAGTTGCTTCTCACTAAGGGTGGTTGTTTTTTTGGCATTTTCAGTGACAGTGTCTGAGGCTTTTGGATTCATCTGTGGCTTCCCCTGATTCCCCGACAGTGTTTGAGGCTTCACTAGTAATATCAGTAACTTCTCTGACAGTGTCTAAGGTTTCACTAGTAATCTCTGTGGCTTCCCTGACAATGTCTGAGGCTTCACTAAAAATCTCTGTGGCTTCCCTAACAGTGTCTGAGGCTTCACTAGCAGTTTCCGTGGTGTTCCTAACAGTGTCTGGGGCTTCACTAACAATAACAGGGGATTCAGTGTCTGTGGTTTGGTTGACAGTGTCTGGGTCTTTACAGCAAGTGTCTATTTCACAAACAGTGTCTGAGGCTTCACTAACAAAAGCTGCAGTCTCGCTTAAGGTGTCTGGGGTTTCACTAACAATAACTGAGGCTTCACTAACAGTGTCTGATAATTGTCTACCAGAGTCTCGCGTATCAGTGTCTGGAGTTTCACTAACAACAGCCGGAGTTTCTTTAGTGAGACAGTCTGGGGTTTCAGTCTGTGAGGTTTCTCTAACTATGTCTGTTGTTTCGCTACTCCTGTCATGTGTTATGTATTCTGGGGTTTCACTGCCTGAGTCTACGAGTTCAACTTCTGGGGGATCGAAATCTGTTTCACTGACAGATTCTAAAGTCCCAAAATCTGTGGATTCACTAACATTATCCAAGGTTTCAAAATCTGGGGTTTCACTAAGGGTATTTAATGTTACAAATTCTGCAGACTCGCTAAAATTATCAAGGGTTTCAAAATCTGTGGTTTCGCTAAGGGTGTCTAGTGTTTCGTAATCTGTAAATTCACTGACGTTATCCAAGGTCTCAAAATCTGGGGTTTCACTCAGGGTATCTAAGGTTTCAAAATCTGTGGATCCACTTACGGTGTCTTGGATTTCAAACTGTGGGGTTTCACTGACAGTAACTAAGGGTTTACATTCAAGATCGCCTTTATCTGTGTCTGTTTCTGACGATTGGCCTACAGCGTCTGCGGTTTCACTAACGGAGACTCGGTGGTTTATGTCTGTGGTTTCTCCGTCAGCGTCTGTGGTTTCGCTAACAGTCCCTGTGGTTTCTTCAAAAGTGTCTGTGACTTCACTAACAGCGTCTGCAGTCTCCCTTCCCGTGTCTTTGGTTTCTCCGATAATGTCTGTGATTTCTCTATCAGTGTCTGTGGTTTCGCTAACAGTATCTGTGGATTCTCTAACAGTGTCTGTGGTTTCACCAACAGGTCCGGTGGTTTCACTAACAGTGTCTGCGGATTCTCTAGCAGTGTCTGTGGTTTCAATTACAGTGTCTGTGGCTTCTCTAGCAGTGTCTGTGGATTCTCTAACAGTGTATGTGTTTTCACTAACTGTGTCTGTGGTTTCTCTAGCAGTGTCTGTGGTTTCACCAACAGTGTCTGTGGCTTCACTAACAGGTCCGGTGGTTTCAATTACAGTGTCTGTGGCTTCTCTAACAGTGTCTGTGGTTTCACTAACAGTGTCTGTGGCTTCACTAGCAGGTCCGGTGGTTTCAATTACAGTGTCTGTGGCTTCTCTAACTGTGTCTGTGGTTTCACTGTCAATATCTGTAGTTTCCCGAATGGCGTCGCTGGTTCCTCTTATTGCAGCTGTGACTATGCTAGCAGTGCCTTCGTTTTCAATGGCAGCATCTGTAGCTTCTTGAACAGTGCTTGCTGGGTCTCTAACTGTGTCTGTGGTTTCTCTAAGAGTATCTGTGGTTTCTAGAACGGCGTCTGCGGTTTCTCTAGGAGTACCTGTGGTTTCTAAAACGGTGTCTGCGGTTTCTCTAACTATATCTACAGTTTCATTGACGGTATCTGTGATTTTACTAACGGCGGAAGTGGTTTCGCTCGCAGTGTCTGTGGGTTCTCTAACAATGTCTGTGGTTTCTTTAGCTGTGTCTGTGGGTTCTCTAACAATGTCTGTGGTTTCTTTAGCTGTGTCTGTGGGTTCTCTAACAATGTCTGTGGTTTCTTATCTGTGGGTTCTCTAACAATGTCTGTGTTTCTTTAGCTGTGTCTGTGGGTTCTCTAACAATGTCTGTGGTTTCTTTAGCTGTGTCTGTGGGTTCTCTAACAATGTCTGTGGTTCTTTGTGTCTGTGGTTCTCTAACAATGTCTGTGGTTTCTTTAGCTGTGTCTGTGGGTTCTCTAACAATGTCTGTGGTTTCTTTAGCTGTGTCTGTGGGTTCTCTAACAATGTCTGTGGTTTCTTTAGCTGTGTCTGTGGGTTCTCTAACAATGTCTGTGTTTCTTTAGTCTGTGGATTCTCTTGTCTGTGGAGTGTGGTTTCTAATTCTCTAACAATGTTGTGGTTTCTTTAGCTGTGGATTCTCTAACAATGTCTGTGGTTTCTTTAGCAGTGTCTGTGGATTCTCTAACAATGTCTGTGGTTTCTTTAGCATTCTCTGATGTGTGGTTGTGGTTCTCTGGGTCTGTGGTTTCCCATGTGTTTTGTGTTCTCTCACAATGTCTGTCTTTAACTGTGTGGTTTCTTTAGCAGTGTCTGTGGATTCTCTAACAATGTCTGTGATTTCTTTAGCAGTGTCTGTGTTTTCACTAACAGTGTCTTCACTACCAAAATGTCTGTCCTCTTTCCCAGCGTCTGTGGCTTGGTTTTCTACCGGGTCTATTCTTGCAATAATCTGAGTTTCGCTTTCAGGACTGACAAGGGGTTTTGTAGTACCAGTGCTGTAAGTAACTGCAACAGAGTCTTGTGTTTCACTTACGGTGTCCTGGAGTTTTACGGTGTCCTGTGCCTCAGTGACAGTGTCTGAAGTTTCGATATGAGTTTCAGTTGGTTTATTGTCAGTGTGTGGGGGTTCATTCACAGCGTCAGTGTCTGTTGTGTCGGTTTTAATGAGTGTGTGCGGGGCGTAAATGGCTACTGTGAGAGTTCCTGTAATCTCCCTACTTGTGTCTGGGGTTTCACTACCTGTATCTAAAATATCACTATCTGTTTTTTCGTCTGAGGCTTCACTAACACTATACGGGGTTTCTCTATCTGTGACTGTGGTGTAGCTGATGTTGACTAACGCCTCACTGTCAGCGGTTGTCGAGCCTTTGATCAAGTCTATGTTCTGGGGAAGTGTAAATGAAGCTTCACTAACAGGGGTCGTTCTACTCACCAGGGTTTCCAAAGCTTCCGTGCAAGTGTGTGAATGGTGTGAGGCTTCAGGGGGGTATGTTGTAAGGGCTTCACCACGGGTTAGGACAGGGTCAGTCTCAGTGGCGGAAGGGGAACAGGGGTCACCACTTTGACCAGGGGACTCCGGGCGGTCGGGGGGGTTTCGTGGGAGGGGTTTTAGTTCGGCGGGAAGGCCAGGGGGTTCAGAGGCTTCGCTAGTATCACTAACACAACTAACACGGTTATCAAAGTTGTTATCATCAAACGCACTCGGGGATGTTCTAGGGGGCGTGGTTACATCAGGTGGACTCGAAGGGGCGGGGACGCCGTCCTTCTCTCCCTGCTTCGCCTCGACGCCACCTTGGTCAGTTATGTTAGAGGGCGCGGCCTGGGGGTTAGTGGGCGGGGTCAAGCCATCCACACTGTTACCGTTGTTAGCGGCGGGTGCAGAGGTGCTAGAAGATGCAGATGCAGCTGGCCCAGCGTTGTTAGCGGTGCAGGATGAGGAAGTGGAGGAGTCTGGAAGGTTGCAAATAACACTCTCGAGCGCGGTTCGAATACCTTCCAGTCTGGAGGCGAGATCTCCGCCCTCCGCTGCTGGGGGCGCGGCTCTTGCTCTCGCGCCTTCCTCCTGCGTCTCCTTTTTCTCTTGTTCTTTCGTCTCTTCTCTCTTCTCTTCCTGCGAGGCTTCGGGGTCTTGTGAAGCCGCACTCTCTTCTACTGTGTTCTCCTCTTTCTTTTCTTCTCTTTGTTCTTCGCTTGCTGCTTCTGTCTTCTCGGTCTCTTCTCTTCTCTCGGCTGTTTTCGCCTCTTCGTCTGTGGTTACTTTCTGTTCTTCAGTTTTTGTTTGACTTTCTATACTCTCTGGTTCTTTTTCTGCTGCAAGCGTTTGTTCTTCATTCTGTTCATCTGTTCTTTCCTTCACTTCTGCTTTTTTAGTTCCTTCTTTTTCTTCTTCAGTTTTCGCTTGTTCTTCAACCTTTGCTTCTTCAGCAGTGTGTTCACTTCTTGGTTCCACTTGTTCTGCTTCTTCAGTTTTCACCTGTTCTTCAACGTTAACTTCTTCAGTTTTAACTTCTGTCTTATCTTGTTCTTCAGCCTTTTCTTCAACGGGTTTATCTATTTCCTCGACTTTTGCTGTGGCTGTTTCTTCGGCCTGAACTTCTTCAGACTTCGCTTGTTCTTCTACCTTGTCTTCCTCAGCTCTGGCTTGTTCTTTAACTTGAACTTCCTCTGCGTGTTCTTGCTCTCCGTCCTTCACTTCCTCGGCTGCCTCTCCTCCTTCCGTCGACGTCGATTTTGCCTTATTTATTTCCTTCTTGAGAGCGTCCACCTGGTACAGGGTCTGGAACACGGTCTTCCCTTCCGATTTCGCCGAGCTCCTCCTCTTCTTCTTCGTCTTCCTCGTTGTTTCTTCTCCTCCTGCTGCTCCTTCCTTCTGTTCTTCAGCTTCTGCTTCTTTCTGTTCTTCTGCTTTCGTTTCCTTCTGCTCTTCTTCCGTTTTCTCTTGCGTTGTTTCCTTCTGCTCTTCTTCCTTTTTCTCTTGCGTTGTTTCCTTCTCTTCTATCTTCGCCTCGGCCTGTGCTTCAGGTACTGCTTCTGCCTGTATTACTTCAGGTTCCTGTACCGCAACTTGTGGTTCTACCGTTTCAGGGAGAACACTGATCACTTCAGGAAGGGCAGCCTTCACCTCAGGTTGCTCCTCCTTCGCCTCCTTCAGCGCAGATTGTTCTACCTTCACTTCAGCTTTGGCTTCCTGAATTTCACTCGCTACAGGCTGTATCAGAACCTCCTCCACTGCAGGCTGTTCTAACTTTACCTCGACATGTGCCTCTTTCACGTCTAATTGCACTTCTTTCACTTCAGCCTCGAGCACTTTCACTTCAGCCTGTGAGTCACACTTCACTTCAGCGATCACTTCGGGCTTCACTTCACTCTCGGTGCTTGTCACGTGGGCCGTAGCGTCAGCCTCGGGGGGGCCGTCAGCCGGGGCGGGGGCGGGGGAGGGGCTCGCATCAGCTGATTGTTCCTTTGCTGTCGCCGCCTCGCTCGCGCTCTCCCGCGCCTTGCCCTCCTCTTGCCTCTCGCTCCTCGCCTCCTGCTCGCCCTGCTGGCTTACATCATGTGTGCTTGTGTCCTTCCCCTGCTCCTGCTGAGCGGGGGTGGAGGGAGGAGGGGCGTGGGGGGAGGCAGGGCCCTCCTGCGAGACAGCTGTGGCGGCAGCGTCGGCGGAGGTGGGTAGAGCACTGGTGGCACCCTCGCCTCCCTCGCCCAGCAGCACTCGCCTTGGGGAAGTCTGCGAGTAGTTCTGCAGCGACTTCAACACCGTGTCTAGAGTGGCGAACGAACTCTCGATGGTCTTCAGGTTGTCATCGATGTCCGTCTCAAGCCTGCTGCCGTCGGGCTGCGTCCCCTTCGCACCTGCTCTTGTCGTCGCTGAGGCTGAAGTGACACTGACGACGTGATTGCGCTGAGAAGGCCCCGCCTCCTCGCCCGGCGTACCAACCGCGCCGCTCCCGGCCCCCGTGTCAGCGCACGCGGCGGCCGCGCCACGGAGGGGTTGGCTGCCCTGGCGCTCAGTTGATTCAGCTTGTGTTGATGTTTTTTGTTGTTGCTGCTGCTGCATGAGCTGCTGGTGTCTCTGCTGGATCTTGCCTTTCTTGGGCGGCGGCGGCGGCGGAGGCAGCGGTCGCGTGCGGGATCTGGTCGTGGCTTGGGGCCGCGCCTCGCTCAGGTCCACGTTCTCGTAGTTTTCGAAGTCGGCGCTGAGGTCGACCTTGGCGGTCGGTCGAGTGGGGTCGACGGTGAGTCTGGCCTTCACGGCGCCTCCGTCGTCGCCCTCGTCGCCCTCGCTGGTGCGGAGCTTCTTGCGGCGCGGGGGCGGGTCGTGGTGGGCGTGCGCGTGCCGCAGGGGCTTGACTGGGCGTGCGCGCGCGGGGGCGGACGCGTCCAGCATGTCGTCCTTGATGTGTGTGACCACCTCCTCGATGCGGACGACCTTGGAGTGGCGTTTGGGCGGCGCAGGCGTGACCTCCACGCTTGCGTAGAGCTTGGAGCCGCGAGGGGGGCGCGACGGCGACGACACCTCGCCGTTCACCAGCACGACCTGCTGCGACTTCTTCAGGCGGGGCTTGAGGTGGCGCGGAGGGCGGGGCGGCTCAGCCTCGAGGGTCTGGGGCGAGATAGTCCTCAGGCCCTTCTTCTTGGGCGGGATGGGCGGCGGCGTTTCATCGTCCTCCTCGGGTCTCAGCGGGCGTAGCTCCTTCACGCCCCCGCTCTTGTGGACACGGGCGTAAGGAGGAACCTTGTTCTGATCTTCGTCAACGTCTTCGGGGGTCTTCTCCGGTCCGGCCTTGGCGTCTGCGTCTACCTTCACTTCCTCCTCGACCTTGGAATCTACCTCGACCTTTTGCTCTGTTTCTACTTTGGACTCCGCCTCGACCTTTTGCTCTGTCTCGACCTTGGAATCAGCCTCGACCTTGGAATCAGCCTCGACCTTGGAATCAGCCTCGACCTTGGGCTCTGCCTCAACCTTGGACTCTGCCTCGACCTTGGAATCTGCCTCGACCTTGGAATCTGCCTCAGCTTTCACTTCCTGTTTGTCTACCATCTCCGAGTCGACCTTGACCTCCGCCGTTTCGCCTTCGCTCACCTTGACATCCGCCGCTTGAACTTTGACCTCGGATGTCTCGGTCTCGCTGGCCTTGACCTCGGACGTGGTTGTCGTGGTGGTGGAGGAGGTGGAGGTGAGGGTGACCTGCGAGACGACGGCCTGGTCGCTGGCGTCGTGTCGCTGGATGAGGACGGCGGCGTACACCTTGTTCCCTCGAGTCGGCCGGGGGGGAGTCTGTTCCTCCTCTTTCTCCTTCTCTTCCGACTCCTTCGCGCTCTCTCCTCCTCCGACCTCCGACGCGTCCATCACTTCCACCGTCTGTTCCATCGTCGTTTGGAAGGTGTATTCCGTGCCTCCTGCTTTTTCTTCTTCCTTCTCCGCTGTCTTTTCACTCGGCTTCAGAAGGATGGACTCGTAGACCTTGATGCCTCTTTGCGGGCGGGGCGGGAGGGGAACGTCGTCACACTCCATGGCATCTGTCTTCGTCTCCTCGCTCTTCTCCGCTTCTCTTCGCTCTTCCTCTCTTTTCTCCTGCTCTCTTCTCTCCTCCTCTTCTTTCTCTTGCTGTATTCTTTCTTGCTCTCGTCTCTCTTCCTCTCTCCTCTCTGCTTCTTTCTTCTCTTCCATTTCTTTCTCGATTTGCTGACGTCGTATAATTACTTCTTCATAGACCTTAATGCCGCGTTGGGGCTTCACGGGCTCGTCCTCGACTGCAGAGGGAGCGGGCTGAGCCTCAGCGGGCTTAATCTCGATGTTGTCGTAGACTTTGATGCCTCGAGGTGGCTTGTGAGGCTTGAGGGCCTGAGGGATGATGTAGTCCTCCTCTTCCTCTTTCTGCGCCGAGCTCGAGGCTGAGGTTAGGATCTGTGCCTCGAGCGCCGTCATGCGGGCATCTTCGACCTCGTCGTCGGGCCCTGGGTGCCCTACGGTGATGGGCGTGTCGGTCCTCTTCTGGCGACGCCCTCGGAACCTGTCCCTGCCACGCCCCTGGGAGTGGGGGACTTCTCTGGGACTGTCTCCGGCCTGGGGAACCACCCGCTGCAGCTCCTCCTTCACCACATTGTCGTACTCGCTCTCGACAGAGGGCTGACGGGCATGCGAACGCGGAGGAGGAGGCGTGGGCGCCATAGGGAGAGGGGCGGCCTCGGGGACACTCTGAGGGCGACCTGTGTAGGCCAGGACGGGGTACAGCTCGTTGTCTTTGTCGTCGTCCATGAAGGTGATGTCGTCGTAGACCTTGACCCAGGTGCGGCCGACGGGGCCCGGGCGGCGCGACGGCTTGCTGGGGTTGTCGTCGCGGGACTCGCTGCCCCCGCCGTCGCGCCTGCCCAGGAGGTTCCTCAGCTGAGGCGGGAGCGAAGGCGCGCGCGGCAAGGGACGCATCTTGGGCATGGCGGGCATAGCGGGCATCTTGGGCATCGATGGGACTTTGGGCATTGGAGGAACTTTAGGCATAGCAGGAACTTTGGGCATCGAGGGCACTTTGGGCATCGAGGGCACTTTGGGCATGGACGGGAGGTGGGGCAGCTGCGGGAAGCGGTCCCTCGAAAGGCCTCGCAAGGAGCGCCTCTTCTCCCTCGCCGGGGACACGGAGGCCGCCCGCTTCTGCCCGCCCGCGCCCTTAATCTTCGGCTTCGGGGACTCGGGCACGGGCGGCCTGTGGGCACTGGAGGGCGTGGGCGGAGGCGTCGGAGCCGTCGAGGGCTGTCGTTCGGGCGTCGGCGGGGGCGTGGGGGCGGCGGACGAAGGAAGCTCGGGGGTGTGAGAGCCGCGGGAGGACATGACTGTGGCGTGGCGGGGCAGAGAGGCCGTCTTGCTGCTCTTGGTGAAGGCCGGCAGGATCCCCACTCGCATCATCCCCCCTCCTCCCCCTTCCCAGCACCTGACGGGGAAGGGGGGGAGAAGAGAAGGAACCAGGATTAGAATACAAATAAAGGAGAAAGAAAATGAAAACAACACAATGAGAAAAGAGCTAACTGAGGCACTCCTGACAGAACACTTCAGTGGCTCTCCGTAAGGATGGCAATAATTAGATGGATCTGTCAATTGAGGGGTACAGGAAAGTCACCTAATTTACATTGTGACGTCTGTGACCTCATTTCGACACGTTTCCGCTCCTTGGACATCGCCTTCGAATTCGTGGCGAGAAATACATGGTTATTTCCGGATATGTTACAAAAATTATGAACGGAAGATTCCTCCATGATTTTTTCAATCATATTGGGAAATTTTTGGAAAAGTTTATAAACTAAAAACACACACACAAACGCACGTAAACACAATGACACAAAACACACACACACACACAAACGCAATGCCGCAAAACACACACACACACACACACACACTAACACAATGCCACAAAACACACACGCACACTAACACAATGCCACAATTCACACACACACACACACACACACACACACACACGCACAAACGCAATGCCACAAAACATACACACATATACCGATACTTTATTCCCGACACACAAACGCACGTGGATCCACAACCGAACACAACTACCCACAGCCACAGAACTCGGCCCTCACCTGCCCAGCCAGACGAGACACATTGAGGCACCCATCTCCTGCCGGGTCCTCTTGCTGTTCGTCGCTCCTTCGTCTCTGGCCTCCTCTCGCCCCCTCTTCTCCTTCCCCTTCTTCCTCTTCGCCTCCTACTTCCCTCTCGTACTCGGAGTCGCCGCGAGAAGGAGGGAGGTTCTCCTTGGCTCTCGAGGCTGACCTGGACCGGCCTGTGGAAGACCTGCCGGAGGGGGGCTTCTCCTGCGACGCCCTCCTTCCCCTCATCTGTGACCTGCACGAAGGAGAAACGAGGGTAAGGATTTTTTTTTTTTTTTGAGACTGGTGTAAATTATGCGGACATTTATACCGATATCAACTTCAACTAATGCTTAATGAGTAAAAAATGTCATATATTATGATCTAGTCTTTCTGGAGAGAGATATACTGTATATCTCAGGATCATGGAGCACTGATAAATTATTATATATTCCCTAATCAACACACACCCATGTAGATAAATATGTGTGTGTGTGGGTGTGCGATGACGATGAAGCATTGACTTTAATAACCATAATACTAGCAATAATAAATATAATAGATCGCGTAAAATCACAAGGTTTGCTAGATAATAGTAAACGAAGATTATCATACAAATAAGGATTTTCGACAGAAGATCTTATCGCAAATTATGTAACTGGCATACACACACACACACCACACACACACACACACACACACACACACACACGCAGGTAAGCACAATGACCGAAGACACACAGACATATATATACATACACACACACACACACACACACACACACACACACACACACACATATATATATATATATATATATATATATATATATATATATATATATATATATATATATATACATATATACATGTGTGTGTGTAGCGTATGATGAAAGGATTGTATCTGTTGAACGGATTACCCACCGCAAAGGCAACGCTAAAACTTTAACAACAATGCAATTGATGATATCAGAGGTGACCATAAAGCCATTGTACCAACGTGATAACACAATGCTACCAAACAGTACAAATGAATGTAAATAACTCCACAGCGATATATGACTGACGCATTTTTATTAAATCTGAGCCAGAAATCAAATTAACATTTAACCGCACGCATTAGTTAGAATCTCTGTTTTTGTAAAGCTACTAATTCACAACTATATATTTTTTTCTGCACCAACTGTACTGTACTTTGTGATATTCATTCTCGATAACAATTTTTCCATGATACTATCGATGATGATAATGGTGGTTGCAAAGATGGTAATAATAATGATACTAATGACAATTATGATGATAATGATGATATTAACAATAATGATTATAATAATGAAAATACTAATGATAATAATAATGATAATAAAGATAACAATAATAATGGTAATAATAACAACAAAAATAATAACAACAGCAGCAGCAGCAGCAAGAACAACAACAGCAACAACAACAACAATAATAATAATTATAATAATAATAATAACAACAACAATAATAATGATAGTAACAATAATGATAGCACTCGTATCAATATCATTAACAAGAAAACAGAAAACAGAAAACAAAAACAAAAATAACAAAAATAATAATGAAACATGTTGACACAACCAACCAACCAACCAACAAACAAACACAAATAACACTGAACCACAAACAAATAACGGCCTTATAAACCACATGTTCCACCAGCCCTACACGTCACTCTGCCGCCCTCCATTGTACGATAAGGGATCAACCGCTGGAGATAAGACGTTGATTGTGGGCCTGTGTTCGCTCGTGGCTAAGCAGTTATGCAATTGCAACGACGGGGGGGGAATGTATTGGTGGAGGTTGTTTTGTGTGTGTGTGTGTGTGAGTGTTTGTGCTTGTGTGTGCGTGCGTGCTTGAGTGTGCTTGTGTTGTGTGTGTGTGTGTGTGTGTGTGTGTGAGTGAGTGTTTGTGTTTGCGTGTGTGTGTGTGTACGTGTGAGTGTTTGTGTGTGTGTTTGTGCGTGTGTTTGTGTGTGTGTGTGTGCGTGTGTCTGTGTGTGTGTGTGTGTGTTTGCGTTTGTATGTGTATGTGTGTATATGTGTGCGTGCTTGTGTGTGTCTATGTATATGTATGTGTGTGTGTAATAACAACCATAATGATGATGATGATAATGATGGTTATTGATCCCACCAGTTCTACTACAGCTACTATTCCCATTAGAAATGATAATGATATCATAATGATAATAGTGATAATGCTTATTACAGTGGTAGGATGAGTAGTAATGCCAATGCTAATAATAACACTAAGAGTGATAATAATAAAACTAATGATGATAGTAGCAATAATAATGATAATAATAACAATACAAAATAATATAATAATAATAATAATGATAATGGAAATAAGGCACTTGATAATAATAATGATAATAATAATAATAATAATTGGAATGAGGTTATTCATAACAATAATAACAATAATGTTAATAATAATTACAATAACAAAAATAATAATGATTATGATGACATTGATTTGATATTGCTAATAATAATAATGATAATGACAAAAATGAAAACAATGATAACAATAACAATTACCATTACAACAAAATTAGTGCCAATAATTATGGTAATTGTTCCAATGATAATCCTATTAGCAGCTGTTGATAACATACACAATACAAACGCCATCTACAATACAAGAAATACGACAATTGACTTTTGTTTTCATTCAATCTAAATAAAGTATTACATGAAATGCAAAAAATCTTCATAATTACATAATTTTCTTTTATTAAATATCCAGAGCCATTTATGATTTCTCTGCCTCTCTCTCGTTCTCTTTCTCTCTGTCTGTCTCGTTCTCTCTCTCTCTCTCTCTCTCTCTCTCTCTCTCTATCTCTCTCTCTCTCTCTCTCTCTCTCTCTTATCTTTTTATTCTTTTTTCAAACTATTATTATCTTTTTTTTTGGCTAGCATGTTCACTAATTAACACCGCGCTAATGTTGTGGCTAATGATGATAGCATTCACACATCATGACAAGGGCTTTGATAAGAAGGGCATTCTTTATGCAATTGATGAAAGGTTGAAAAGGTGGGTTGACCTTTCTCTGACCTTTCGGCTCATCTTATGCCGGGAGATCTTAGAAAGCCGTCAGACATATGCTGATCAAGATGTATATTTGATTGTCAGATATTTTTTTGTGTGTTCATTGCAAGATGATGGATGATATAATAATAATATATATATATATATATATATATATATATATATATATATATATGTATATATATGTCTTTTTTGTTTATTGCAAGATGATATGGATGATAAAGTAATTTTCTTTTCTTTTTTTTTTTAGATATTTTCTTATGTTTATTGCAAGATGATATGGATGATAGAGTTTTTTTTAAAGATTTTTTCTTTTCATTGCAATATGATATGGATGGTAAAGTAATTCTTTTTTTTATGTTTTATGTTTATTGCAAGATGATATGGACGATAAAGTAATTTTTTTTTTTTTTAGATCTTTTTTATGTTTATGTTTATTGCAAGATGACATGGACGATAAAGTTATTTTCTTTTTTTCATTATCTTCGTTTTCTTCGCTCTGGGCATTACGACATCGGGGCATTCAAGGTCTCATGCGTTTATTGATTCCGCTATGCATATTTAAACACGGTTTTGCATGCGTGTGCGCGTGTGCGGGGGGGAGGGAAAGGGGGAGGGGAGGAAAGGGGGAGGGGAGGGGGAGGGGAGGGGGAGGGGGGGGGGGAGAGGGGGGAGGGGGAGGGAGGGGAGGGAAAGGGGGAGGGAAAGGGGGAGGGAGGGGAGGGGGAGGGGAGGGGAGGGAAGGGAGGGAGGAAAGGGGAGGGAGGGAAAGGGAGGGGAAAGGGGAGGGGAGGGGAGGGAAAGGGGAGGGAGGGGAGGAAAGGGGGAGGGGGAGGGAGGGAGAGGGAGGGGAGGGAGGGGAGGGGGGGAGGGGGAGGGGGGGAGGGGAGGGGAGGGAAAGGGGGAGGGAGGAAGGGGAGGGAAAGGGGGAGGGAGGAAAGGGAGGAGGGAGGGGGGAGGGGAGGGGAGGGGAGGGAAAGGGAGGGGGGAGGGAGGGAAGGAGATAGGGGAGTAGGAGATGGAAGGGGAACTAAGTTATTCTGAGCAGGGAGATGCTGCCAGGCATTCCTCCCCCCTGACCCCCGCTTCTGCTTCGGCCTGCTCCTGCTCCTGCTGTGAATTGTACTTTTTACACACACACACACACATGCGAGCGCGCGCAAACTCGAGATCACAAATCAAACACACACATGCTTACATGCAGATACATTTCTCTCTCTCACTCTCTCTCACTCACTTACTCTCTCACTTTGTTTTCTCTCTCACACTCACTCACTCACTCTCTCATTCAGTCACCCAGTCACTCTCACTTTTATCTCTCTTTCTCTGTCAATCTCCCACTTACTCTCTCTCTTCTCTCCCTCCTCTCCTCCCTCTCTCTCTCTCTCTCTCTCTCCTCCTTCTCTCTCTCTCTCTCTCTCTCTCTCTCTCTCCCTCTCCCTTCCTCTCTCTCTCTCTCTCTTCCTCCCCCCCCCCCTCTCTCTCTCCCTCTCCCTCCCTCCCTCTCTCTCTCTCTCTCTCTCCCTCCCTCCTTCTCTCTCTCTCTCTCTGTCACACACATACAAACACACGAGTAGTATTATCACAAGTGCACCGCATAGCAATAAAGATTATATTCATGTAATAATAACCAATTAAGGCTCGATTGGTAACTTGTGATGCAACCGTGATTGCAATGAAGGCAACAGGAGAGCGGGTTGGCTGGAAGGAGGTTAGAATAATGAAGACGGGGCTTTGCAATAGTCCTTGGTGATGATGATGACAATGAGAGAAGTTTTTAACATTTAATTGCAACATGGATAACGCAAGTAAATACAAACTTGCTGAGTAATTAGAGTCCATCTTTTTTTGCTCTATATTTGTTTATTCTGTTTATTTATTTATTATATTTATCTATTTATTTTTGTTTTATCTTATCTATCTATTCATTTTTATTTTATTTTATTTATCTATTTATTTTTAATTTATCTTATTTATCTATTTGTTTGTTTGTTCATTTATTTATTTGTTTGTTTGTTTGTTCATTTATTTATTTGTTTGTTTGTTTATTTCTTCTTATTTTATATATTTATCTATTTGTTTATCTATTTGACAGACAGCTTGCTGATCATCAACATCCTTGGACAAATGCCGCTCCAAGAAGAGATATGGCACACTGGTAATCTCTCTTGGGTTTTATCTACACTTGGCAAC